TCATTTTATTCTTTCAAATACTAGTTGTTTCTTTCTACAGTCTCCAGACCGCCAGTCTGTCTCCTCTGACTGTGTCCAACATTAAAATTGGTGCAGAACAATGTCTGGATGGAAAGCACTGTTTATTTCTGCCTTTTCTCTCTTTGAGATTTGAGTCTTTTATGATACTCCCCCCATTTTATTATTTTTTTTTTTCAAAACATAGAAGAATGTATTAGAGTTCTCTGGAGGAACAGAATCAATAGGAAGTATGATTATAAAAAGGGAATTTATTAGGTTGGCTTACACAACCAGAAGCTGGATGGTCCACAATGGCCGTCTGCAGGCTGGAGAGCTGGAGGAACCAGTAGCTGCGCAGTCCAAGTAACTGAAGCCTCAGAGCAAGAGGGATCAACAGTGCTACCCCAGTCAGAGACTGGAGGCTTCTGGAACCTCCCAGGAGAATCACTGGCAGAATCTGCTTTGGAAGAGTGAAGGAGGGAGACTCTGATGTCCTCAGGCCATCACAACAGCACTCAAGAGCCCACTCAAGGAGAATCAAGCTTGCGTCTGCTAAACATCTCGAAATTCTTCCCACAATTCTAAAAAGCTCAAAAAGCTTTTGAACCATATGGTCAGGTTAGTCACAGCCACAACCCCACTTCTTGGTACCAATTTCAGTTTTAGTCAGCTTTTTTGCTGCTATGACTAAAGGATCTGACCAGAACAATTTTAGAGAAGAAAAGTTTATTTGAGGGGCTCATGGTTTCAGAGGTCTCAATCCATAGACAGCTGGCTTTATTCCTCAGGGTTCGAGGTGAGGCAGAACAACATGGAGGAAGAGTGTGGCACAGGGAAGCAGCTCACGTGAGGATCAGAAAGCAGAGAGAGACTCCACTCTCCAGATACAAAATATATACCCCGAAGCCACGCCCCCAATGAACCACTTCCTCCAGCCACACCCACCCGCCTCCAGGCACCACTCTGTTAATCCCATCAGGGATTCACTCACTGATTAGGTTAAGGCTAGAGCCCAATCATTTCTTCTCTGAACTTTCTTGCTTTGTCTCACACAGGGGCACCACATCTAATCCATAACAAGGAACTTAGAGAATCTCAGAGGAAATACCCACATATCTACCACTTAGATTTCATAATTACCCAGTTTGCTTTATTTGCACATCTGTCCACAAATGCATCAATCCATCTGTCTTCATTCATTTTTTGAGGCATTTCAGAGTTGCAGATTCATGACAACTTAATGATGTCTTATCCCTTAACACTTTGTTTTTAATTGATTTTATTTTTTTAGATACATGACAGCAGAATGCATTACAATTCTTATAACACATATAGAGCACAATTTTTCATGTCTTTGTATATAAAGTATGTTCATGCCAATTCATGCTTTATACATGTACTTTTTTTGCATTACAATTCTTATTAACACTTTCTTTTTCCTTTTTAACTTCAGATTTTTTAAATAAAGCTTTGCCAACCTTGTTTGAAGTTGCCCTATTTCCTCTGCTTGCTCAAACTTGAATATTTGTACCTTTTAAAAATCACAGAACTCAGTATATTTGCCCCCTTGCATAGACCCTGGGTGCCCACGCTTTCTCCAGTTTACTCCTTCATTTTTCTATTACTTCCTTTCTTATCTCTTCACTCACCACAACTTTTCATTTTGCCTTCCCTTCTCTCTTTCAGCTCCCCAGCAGATAATTTTAAAACTAAACAACAGCTGAACAATATCCCCACTGTTCTGCATGCCTGGGTATGCGCAGCACGTCCATGCTTGCCCAGAACAGAAGGAAAACACAATTTCTTCCATTTTATTTCTTTGCATCAAAAGTGATTAAATCTGTCTGCATGACCTTCATACATCAGACCACTTGGCTATCTTAAAAGTCTATTTAATAGAGTAAGTCAGGCTGCATTCCCTTTGTAGAAAAAAAAAATCTTTATCACTAAATAGGGCGGTAAAAGCCAAGGGAACAATGCATCTTTTGTGAGTCGAAAGAGAAACTGGCATTCTACAATTGCTGGATTGTTTAAATTATTATACGGCAATTCATGCTAGTTACATATTTGCATTGTTGTACAAGTATTTTCTTATTTTGATTAAAGATAGCTTTTTGAAGGATCTGCTCTTGCAACACAGATTAAAAGACTCTATTGCAAGATATAGTACATTCCATTTTGTTACCCTGGACAGCAGTGTTTCAATTTTTTTCCATAAAAGCCTGTCAAGCATGGAGATAAAAGACTGTAAATAATCTCCAGCAACTTAGGCACCATTATGTTTTATTTACTAACAGCTATAATAGAACTTTCTGTAAAAACCTTCAAGAGCATTTTTCTTTTTGAGCATCAGTTTCACAACCATCTTTCCAACCTTAGCCAGGACTATAAAGCTGAATTGCCCTATTTTTGTAAAGTGGGGGGAGAAAAGGAAAGGAAAATTTTCATAATAAAATTTCTGCTTTCTTAAGTGAAGAGCAATTGTCCAGCATGTACTAGCCGTTCCTACTTTTAGATGTCTGACTCCTTGCACATGAGTTTTCTTGCTTTGATGAATGAAAGTTGAATAGTGAATTCATTCATTCTTTTACCTAGCACTCATTGATCTTTTGCTCCTTACAAGGCACTTGATTGGCCAGTGCAAACAGAAAAGAGAAAGAGAGGTATGCACTCTCTCTTCAGTTTGTAAGTCCATCAGGGAGACAGATGCCTGGTCCTGTAGTTACGTTTGCTACAGCATGAGGTGCTATAATGGGGATGGGCAGAGAGCCAGGGGAGAGTGCACCCCAAAAGGAAGAGGGCAAGATGCTTCCTGGGGGCGTCTTAGACACATGGGAGTCAGCTGATTGGAGTAGACATGAATTAAGACATTGGAGAAGACATCAATTATTTTTAAGCAATAAGCCACCCGGCACAAAAGGACATCATCAAAAGAGGAATTCTGGTAGCTCATGCACCTGAAAGGTCCAGGGGATTTGGACCTCTGCAGAAGGGCCTCTGCATCCAGGACCTGGTAGGCTGTCATCAGGATTCTGCTACTGTGGCCTGCCCCGCAGCATCGCCCTTCTCCCTTGCTGGCAGAACCCCAAGTTTGTTCACTCTCATTGGAGCCACTTTGTCCTGCAGGTGTGGCTGAGCCCCGCTGCGACCTCTGCCACATCCTATTTCCAGATAAGGTCATGTTCTGAGATCCTAGGGGTCAAGACTTAACACGGGAGGGTTTTTGTTGTTGTTTTGTTTTGTGGAGCATAATTTAACCTCATCTTTCTCTCCTCCTCCCTGATCTGCTGATAGCTCCCATTTGCTGGACCAGGGGAGGTAACATCATCCTCCTGACACAGTACAGGGCAGAGAAGGGTGAGGCTGGAGGGGCAAAGAAAATTCCCAGAACACCCTGTATTGCCTTCATTCTTGGGAAGAATCCCTGTGCTTGGCAACCAACACTTCTAGACTTGATTCTTGGGCCCTGCTGTCTTTCTTAAAAGAAGGAGGAAAGACCTTCTATCTCCCAGTTTCCATCGCAGTTCTCTACAAGGAATTGAGTGGCTCTGTTTGGGTCACAAGAAGAGACCTTAGATGGAAACACAGCAGGATGCTCGGTGCTCCGCCCCATGGCCCCTTCTCAGCATGCCTTCTCTGTTCTGCTAGCTGGCTGTCATCGGAGGAGCACTTTCAGTTGCTTGAGTGAAAACTCAAGGACACAGGTAACAAACCAAATGAAGTTTACTTTTCCTTACCTATCAGGATGCCTGGAGTGTGGCAGGCCCAGGCTGGACGACAGCAAAGGTTTCAGCCCCTCCTTCTCCCTGCCCCACCATCTGTTGCTGTGACTTTTGGTCTCATGGCTAAAAGGTGCTACCCCACTCCCAGCTCTACACCTGAGTTCCAGACTGGAGAAAGGAGATGGAAACCTCAAGGAATTCGAGGCAGCAAAAATCAGGAAAGCAGAATTTTCTCAGCTATCTCTAGGATGTGTCTTTCGGCAGCCCTGAGACACAAAGCTGTCTCTTGCTACCTGGGAGCCTGGGAAATGTTGTTTTTGGCTGAATTGGTTGCCATTTGGTAGCAATCAGGTTTCTGTTAATAAGGACAAAGAGGACAGTGGTATTAGGTGGACGGCTAGGGAGTTGGCTGTACTAGCTAATAGCACTCATGTGCTTGGCTACCATGTTTGATTTGGTTGTTACTTGTTTTTTTTATTTTTTGACTTCCACCTTTGAAGGTGACACCCTGACCTGAAGTACTGCTGTTCTGAAGAGTTAAGTGGACTGGTGTTGGGGGGTGTGCAATAATACAGTTAAAGTCATGTACGTTTTAGTCAATAGCCCAATGGCCAACCACATTTACGATGCTGGTCCCATAAGATTATATCACCTAATGTCATAGTAGCTGCCTTAGTGTGTAAGCACACTCTGAGGTTTGCACAACAATGAAATCACTTAATGCATTTCTCAGAACTTAACCTGTTTATGTTATTGTTAAGTTGTGCATGAATAAATTTAAAAAAGAAAATCAAAGCCTAGATTTATTTTTATTTTCATTTTTGGCAATGGAGATTGAACCCAGGGACTCTAGCCCTTTTTATTTTTTATTTGGAGAAAGGGTCTTGTTAAATTGCTTAGGGCCTCACTAAGTTGGTGAGGCTGGCTTTGAACTTGCAGTCCTCCTGCCTCAGCCTCCTGAGACACTGGGATCATGCCCTCGATTTAAAAAATTAAATCTTTCCAAGCCCCTACTGTGTGCTTTGTCTTTTATTAGTCCCTAGTGTCAGAAAATATGCTTAGCCAAAGAAATTATCCAAAGCATATTTTCTCCAAAATGTCTTCAGAATTCTTGATGTTGCCTGAGTTACTGTTTATTGGCATGCTCATAAATTTCATAATGGACTCATGCATATTTCATCTATGCTTAATCAATTAACCTCTCTTCCTTTGTCCTACTCAGACATGTGGGCAAAGTAAGAATGTAATTTAATTATCTCTTCTCCCTTTTCTCTTTAGAGGAAAAGAACCAAATTCATTGCCTGTGATTTTCTTACTGAGTGGTTGTACAAGTAAGTTGTTCATGTCTTCAAATATTCAATGACCCTGAGGATTTAATCATGTGAATTTGCAAGCAGAATAGCAACCATTGACTTGAATTCTTGCTTTTTGTTTTCTTGTCCATCAAACATATGGCACTGTATCCAGCCAAAATCCAAAGAGGACAGGGGAACCGTTCACAGAATTCTTCTCTATTCCATTTGTGGATGAATGGCTTAAAGATCAGTAAGTTCAAATAATTTATTCATAATTTTAAGTTTATATCAATGAGAACTAAAGCATGTGATTCACCCAGACCCTCCAATTATTTTCATGTCTCTTGATTATTTTTAGTCCAGGCTAAGTCCATCCTGTCCATGCAGTGATTTCATTCCAGAAATGCTTCAGAAATAAAATAGAAAACAAACTCTTACCCTAAATAATTTATCTCCCACACCCCTTTTGAGATAGGATTTATCTTACAGTGTGGCCCAGGCTGGTCTAAAACTTGTGGGCTCAAATAATCCTTTTGCTTCAGGCTCCCTTCCGCTCTCTTTGAAGGTCATTATGTCTCAGGAAATAAGAGTAACCTTTTCTATTAATTTTTAGCTATATTCATCAATTTTTCATTTACAATATGAGAATGTGACAGATAAAGTTAAAATACTCTTTGACCATTCTAAACTAGATCTTCTTCCCTCTCCGAGGCAATCAGTTAAGTCTATAGCACATCCTTCCAGAGCTCTTAACGTTAGTTATTTCACTAGATAAAATTAGTTTATATTATATAAAATTAGAATAGTTTGTTGTGAGCTGTTTTTCTCAGTGACATAAAAAAATGATAATGCTGATACCAACTATCATTAGTTGAGTGCCTGTATCACTGTTCTCAGCATTTAATACCAATGAACCAATTTGATATTCCCATAATGGTGCATTACCAACTCAATTTTACAGATGAGGAAATTTATGCATTATGCTGCGACTTGCTTTTATTTGATTCCAAAATATAAATGATTCAATTGCATCTAATCCATGTCTTTTGATGGCTTTACATAGTATATTCATTTCTAGATTTGCATAATCTATTCGCTCATATGTGAAATATGTATTGAGTTCTACTATGTGCTAAAGAGCATTCTAGGTGGTGGAGACAGAACAGTGAACAAGTAGGCCAAAATCCCAGTCTTCACTGAATTTGTGTTCTAGCAAGGAAGACAATAAGCAAATTCTTCAGTGCTGTGAGGGATGAAGCAGAGGGAATATGGAGTCCAAGGGGGTTCAGTTTACATTGGGTGGTCAGGAAGGATTTCACCTGAGATGACATTCAAGCTGTGTTTTACTATTTAAAGTATTAGATGCAAGAAAAGACACCTCAATTTAGAAAATAATATAGATTTCATTTGTTGCTTTAAAATGTTTCCGTGCTGACCCTTTGCAAGAACAATGTCAGGAAATTGAGGCACAAGTAAATCAAGTGAGGCGCTTGCCAAGTCACATTGTTTTAAAAAAATATTTATTTATTTATTTTTAGTTTTTTAGGTGGATACAATATCTTTATTTTATTTTTAATGTGGTGCTGAGGATCGAACCCAGTGCCTCACACGTGCTAGGAGAGCACTCTACCACTTGAGCCACAACCCCAGCCCCCCAAGACACATTTTAAACAGAGTGGGACACCTTAAATCAGACTCTTAGCACTAAGTGTCACATCTTCTGCCTAAATCTGCCCTCCTTAAGAATTTCAAGTTGAATAAACTCTTGACTGACTTTCTCAATATTGAGATTTTTTTTTAAGACCCCAGTTATTACCAGTTTTTTTTTTTTTTAACTGAGACTACACATTGAAAGGAGAGCAATATTGGAAAACTGTGTTTCTTATTCAACTTCTACATCTGTGCCTAATTTTGTCCCATGAAGTGGAAGGCTCACAATTCATTGCTTTGCATCTATTTTTCTAAGACAAAGTGTTTTCAGTACCATTCTCCAAATTGCTTCTTTTCAAAAAAATGAACCATTTTCCTTCCCATTGGTAATAACCAATGAAAAAGAATTTTAAAAATGAAATTGAAATGAGTGACCTCTTGATCCCTCATCATTTGCTGCACAAGGATCTCTATTTAAATGGCAGCTAAGGTCCACCAGCAGCTCCTGTAAACATACTGAAGTGGCAGCATCAGCCACGTCAGCTGGACTCCACAGAACAGAAACACAAGAGCTCTGGCTTTGACTGGCCTTTATATTCTGTGTTTTCATTGTCTTTCAAGGAGATGCCCAGAAGCATGATAAAAATTAAAATGAATCTAATTCATTTCATGGAGTAAGTATCTGCTGAACACCTACCCACCGCTACACACAGGACTTGGTGCTGTGGGAAAAAAACAGAGATGAATAAATTATGGCTCCAGTCCTCGGGGTGAGAGAGCTGTGTTTACAACTAGTTGTAGTTTCTGTAGTGAGTGTTGTCGTTCAGATGCTAACAAAGTACCAAAGGGAAATGGGAAGCACAAGATCTTACAAGTCCTAGTCAGCAGGCCTGGAGCCAAGCCCAGCTAGGACAGTGGCCAAATTGATTGGTGCCCAGATTTGGTTTTTCAAGGTAAGAACTCAGGTGTTATATTCTTCTCAAGGATTCTCCTGAGCAGGAGAGGTCAGAGAAGTAGGAACTAAAGGGTGGAGCAAGGTTTTCCCAACCTTGGACTCTGGATGTGGAGGTCTGGATGATTCTTTGTTGTGGGCAACTGGCCTGTACATTGTAGGAGGGTTAGCAGCAGCACTGACCTCTACCCGTTAGACACCAGTACTAACCCCATACAATTGTGACAACCAAGAATGTCTACAGACACCGGCACACACCCCAGGGTTGGGGGTGAAGAAAACTGCCCCTGGTTGAGATCCTCTGATCTAATCCAGTAGTTTTTCTACTTTGGCCTATACTTTAAAATCATCTGGGGAACTTTGGAAAAATATTGGTAACTGGCTTCATTCAAGACCTGTCAGATCAGAATCTGCAGGTATAGTCTGGATGGCCTTTGTTCTGTTTTTAAAAGCTTCCTAGGTGATTTTAAAGTACAGTCACGACTAAATTCTCATCCACAGGTGTGCGTGTCTAGGAGATAATTTATAGTATATTGAGCTGTTTCTCTGTTAACTGCTTCTATTAAATTTATTTATTTTATTTTATTTTTGGTGCTGGGGATCGAACCCAGGGCCTTGTGCATTTGAGGCAAGTACTCTACCAACTGAGCCCTGCTCTTATGAATATTACTTAATCTTCACAGCAGCACTTGGATGTAGATACTGAAGCTGAGGGCCTAGAGATGGGAGATTGCCAGTGAGATGAGCTGGTCTTGGGCCAACACGGTTGTTACTGGGGGCAGGAGCAGATGGATGGGCATTTGGAACAGGACTTCATAACACACGTTGGAGAAAGATGAATTTTGTGAGAGGAAGTCTGTCAAGGTTTTTTTAAAAGAAGCAAATCATAAAGCAGCACTTTAGGTAGCATTGGTTTGGGTTAAGAACCTGAACTTTGGGGAGAACCAGTTCTCAAGTCTCTACCCCACCATTTACTGATCATATGACCGGCGAAAATGTTTTCTATGTTTATTATTGTGTAACAAATTGCCCCAAAACTTAGTGATGTCAACATTAAATATCTGCTGTGTTACGGTTTCTGTGAGTTAGCAATTTGTTTGCAGCTGGGCTGGGTGGTTCAGAGTCTCCTATGGGATTGTGGACTGCAGTCATCCAGAGGTTGGACTAGGGGTCCTGCTCTCAAGATGGCTCATGCACATGGGACCTCAGTTTTTCCCCACATGGGCCTTTCCTTAGGCTGTTTGAGTATCCTTGGTGCTTGGCAACTGGCCTCCTTTGGAATTGAAGACTCGAGTACAAGGAGGAAGGCATAGTACCTTTTATGACCTTGTCTTAGAAGTCAAACCTCCATTTCCATCACATTCTTTAGAAGTAAGTCAGTTGGTCAAAGGGAGAATGATTAGGCTCTCTCTACCTGATGAATGGAGGAGTTAAAGAATGCATGGGTATACTTAATGTCCACTGCAGAAGGTCCCTCTCTAAACTTCCATTTCTCCGTGGTAAATGTGATGGTGAAGATGCCGTGGATGTTACAATACAAATGGGGTCATAAATCAGGTGCAGTGGTGCAAGCCTGTAATCCCAGCAGATTGGTAGACTGAGGCAGGAGGATCGCGAGTTCAAAGCCAACCTCAGCAAAAGCGAGGCACTGACCAACTCAGTGAGACCCTGTCTCTAAATAAAAGACAGAATAGGGCTGAGGATGTGGCTCATGGTCGAGTGCCGCTGAGTTCAATCCCTGGCACCCCCTGGCAAAAAAAAGGGGGGTCACAAGCAGCTCCAGTCTGCAGCAATGCTTGGCTTACTACAGATGCTTCTCAGTTCATGATGGGGCTGGCTCCAATAGTCCCGTTGCATCTTGAAAATATCATAAGTAAAAAGTGCACTTAAAACAGCCCTCGAGGCTTAGCAATAGAACACTGGAAAGGGCCGTGTGTTTGAGATCTGGTGGCCGACTAGGAGCTGCAGCCCACTGTCACTCCCTGGCACAGTGAGAGATATCGTCATGCTGCTTATTGCTAGCCTTTAGAATCAGAAGATCAGGATTCTAAATCTGAAGGATGGTTGCTACTGAACGTGTAATGCTTTCCCACCATCACCGAAGCCAAGATCCTGGCCGGAAAAGCAGTTTCAGGGGTAAAGATGATGGTTCCTGTCTGGACACAGGGAGAGGGAGGTGCCTGTGTAGGATGTCATTCTGGAACATTGGTCTGATCATCCAGAGAAATGCTGATTTGGTCATGAAAATCCCTGTGACAAATGTATGGATTAATCTGAGATGGACAAGGACTGAACTTCCAGGGTACCCCAGAGAAGGTTCCAGAAGTTCATGACTGAGTCACATGGTTGGTTGGCTGTGGTGACCATGGCTTGGTGTTGTGTGTTTTACAGAAGCCGTTGTTTCAATGACAGAGTCTGTGTTGATTTGAGGTGACTGGAGGGAGGCAGAGGGCTAGATTCACAGTCATTTTTTTTCTTTTTAATCATTGTATTAGTTTTCTATTGCTGCTCTAACAAACCACCACGAACTTGGTAGCTTTAAAGCAACCCAAATTTATTATCATACAGTTCTGGAGGTTAGATCCAACATGGGTCCAACCCAGCTAAGATCAACATGTGTTCTTTTGAGGAGCTCAGGGGAGAATCCG